GATGGCGAACTTGTTGTTCATTAACATTGAAACAAATAATTTGTCTAAAGGTGATTATTGTTCAGTATCCAATTTTATTAAAACAATTTAAGCAGCTTACTGAAATCAAAACTTAATTTAAATAAGTACATAAAAAGATTGAAATTCAAAAACAATTAAATAGATACCTACGATGAGGCTTACCTAAGTGTAAGTGTTGAATTAGAAGTAAAAATAACATTCAAGTTTCGACTGAAAGTCAATCAAATCAATAAAAAAAAATCATCAATGTGGAAAGGTAATAAATAATCCCTAGGCAGTTTTAAATATCAAAAACCTGCTAGGTGAAATCAAGGGTGTCGGGATGAGCTCAACCTTCTTACCTGTAATTAAAGTTCAAAATAGGTAAATATAAAACTTAAATTTGACTACCTAAAGATTTTACATTAGTATAGCTTATAAAACTACCACATTCTTTTTGATTTGAAATTAGAAGTTAGTGAACTTTTCAAAGGTTATTGAATCCACAATAGGATAAGTATTATATCGATCAGTACTCGATATTAAAGAAATAAATTTATAATTATTGTAATAATACATAAGCAGTGTTGCCAGGTCATATTTTGTTTTGTCAGTAGATTACCAGTCTAAATATCAGTAGAAATCAGTAAGGGGTAAACCATTAGGTTATACTCAATTAATTAGTTTAACTAATTTCTTCAAACCATTAAATCATTACACTTTGTAATAGATTATGAAAACTTGTATTAGAAAATCAAACACCAATACTACTTATATGAGAGATAAATTATTAAGATTAAGACACATGAAATATTCCTATTAAATATGCACTACCTATGGGATGCCCTATATTTGGTTCTATATTCTCGAAGAGTACAATTTCCCGATTCCAAAATAATATAGTTTGTCTATATTTAGTTGAGCCGGCTCCAACATATTTGGTTCTGTACAGGAATAATGGTTCACAAAATCAGTATAGTAGTAGGATAGTATTTTTACAATTTCTGGAGCCAAATATATAAGACTATTTATTCAAATATAGAAAAACTATATATTTTTGGAATCGGAGCATTGTGCTCTTCAAGAATATAGAATGAAATATAGGGCATCTCATTTAAAAAAAGCTGTAAGTATGCAAAATTTCACATTTCTGATATTAAAATTTTATTTCTGACTATGGTTTCTAAAAATTCAACCAAAACTGTACAACTTTTTTATTTACACCTTTTTTCTACCTTTTAAGGTAAAGGAGGTAGGTGGAGTGTCGATATATAAAAAAAACACCTTGTACAAATAAGTAGATTGTTGTGGAACTTATGGGTGGACCTCTGCGGGACGAGCGCAGCGAGTTCCGCAGCCATCTACTCACCAATATCCTGCTAAACTGTTGAAGTAAGACATTCACCTGAAACATGTAGTTTTTAAACTAATGAGAATAACTCACATTTGACTGAGTCAGGTCAGTATCGTAATTAAACAACATATTGATGAATAGATAGCTGCGGAACTCGCTGCGCTCGTTCCGTAGAGGTCCACTAATAAGTCCCACAACAATCCACTCGTTTGTACTTGAATAACTTGTCACGATATATTACTAGTTTGGTAAAGTAACATTACTAATTCCTGTTGAAAGGCAAATTATCAAAAAGTAGATAATTTTACAAATTCTGACTTTATATAATAAGTTATTGTTTAAGTACAAAGAAGTGGCTTATTGCGGAAATTATGGGTGGACCTCTGCCATTTACTCACCAATATACTGTTGAATTATTCAAATTAAACATTCACCTGAAACATGTAGTTTTTAAACTGATGAGAATAACTCATATTTGAGTGAGTCAGGTTAATATCGTGATTAAACAACATATTGATGAATAGATGGCTGCGGAACTCGCTGCGCTCGTCCCGCAGAGGTCCACCCATAAGTTCCGCAACAATGCACACATTTGTACTTGAATAACTTATAATAATAATAATAATAATAATAATAAAAGGACTTTATTAAAAAATTGAAAAAAAATACAGATACAATAAGTTGAATACATAATTTTAAGTAAGGTTGGTATAAAGAACGGGTTGCTACCCCGTGGCGAAGTCTAGCACCAGGAGCTATTTTTACTCAACCACAAAGTAGGCCCATTACTTTATGTAAAATAAAACAAGTGTTCCCAAATGGTACCGCACCAATTAAAAAAATTCCTTTTTTTGTTGTTTTATTAGTTGTTTTTTTCTTGCTCTTCCATGCATCGACCATCCCACAGCACAACATTTCACTATCACTCCAATCTATCTTTTTCTTTATCTATTATTATGGGATTGAATAGAAAACAGAAACTGCCGGTATTTAATCTTAAATTGATGTACATTTAGTTGTTTTAGTGCCGGTACTTTAGCTTTTATTTGACACCTGTTAAAAATAATCAGGGGTTTGAATGTGCTCTAGCCACATCAAACTTATAGATCTTGGCCCATGCAAAACTTTGACACCGTATCAAATTCGTTAATCGAGAACAGAAGTATCGGCCCTTAATTCATCTAGAGTCTCATTATACAATTTAATGGCATTGTAAATGCAGCTCCTTTGATACACACAAGTTCTGAAACGAGGGACCTGATACTGTTTTTTGTGTCTAATGTTTACATTATGAAGAGTGGACCGAGGAATAAATTTATTTTTTAGAATTTTAGATGAGCTATCCGTTGTTAGAACACAATGGACAATGTTGGCGAGGTGGTGTTTCCTACAGTTTTCCATATTTAGCCAAGAGGTATCTGTCACTTTCTGGGAAATTCTGTCAAACTTCTTTAGACCGTAAATCAGTCTACAACAGTTATTTTGCATTTTTTGTATTCTGAATTTATCGTTGCTGTAAAGGCAGTTGCTATAAAGAAAATCACAGTAGTTATAGTTTGACAGAACCAGGCTTTCACAAAGATTTTTTTTAAGTTTTAAGTCCAAAATATGTCTATTTGAATATAAGAGTTTAAGAGAACAGAATGCTTTTCTACTTATATTTTTGACATGCTCAACAAATCTTAAATCTTCGTCAATTGTAAGGCCAAGACTTTTGACAGAAGTTTCGAATGGCAGCAGTACGTTATTAATTTTTACGCTGAGGTTTTGCTTAATAAAATTCCGATCTTTTAGTTTTCCAAAGCATATTGCCTGTGATTTTTTGGAATTGAGTAAGAGGTTGTGTTCCTCTGATAGTTGCTGAATTTTACTTAGTTCGTTGTTAATTGTATTTTCCGCTTCTGCGTAATCCGAAACTTTAAAGTGATGGTAAATTTGCTTGTCATCCGCATAGGCCGCTACAGAACAGAGACTTACGGAGTTGAGGATGTCGATTGTATATATAATAAACATAAGGGGTGCTAGAATAGAGCCCTGGGGGACTCCACTTAAGATAGCAGAATTTTGAGAAGACACTCCATTGAAACTTATTTTTTGAAACCTCTCCGAGAAGTAAGACTTGATCAAAGAAACATAGTCATAATCAAATCCATAAAATTTTAATTTTGAGTACATTAATCGATGGTCTATTGTATCGAAGGCTTTTGAGAAATCCAGCAAAACAAGCACGCTAATCTCTCCTGAATCCCAGGCTGACATAATATCATCCAGTATTGTGGTCAAAGCGGTTGCTGTGCTGAAATTTTTTCTGAAGCCGCACTGAGTGTCGGGAAGAATCTTGTTTTCAATTATATACTTGAAAATCTGGTTATATAGGACACGTTCTAATATTTTGGACATAGCTGGCAACAAACTTATTATTCTAACATCGGCAAGACTCTGAGGATTTGTGTTTTTAGCCAGTGGCGTACCAATTGATGTTTTCCAGATCTTAGGAAAGTAGTTTTGCTCGATACAACAATTAATTATGTTCAAGATATACACGTCAATGTATGGACTGCACATTTTTAACATTCTAGCTGATACGTTGTCACAGCCATAGGCATTGGTTTTAATATTATTTAGAATTTTATGGATATCCTCGACTGAAGCAAATGAAAATGAAAACGTGAGATTTTGATTGAACAGATGGTTGTTATAAAAGTTGATCTGATTATTGCATTTTGCAGAAACTTTCTGAAAAAATGGAGAGAAATAATTATTGATTTCTTCTGCAGAGAAACGTTTTGGTGGAATCAAAGAGCTGTTTTTTTTTGTTTTTATGTGTAGATTTTCCAGAGTTTTCCAGATCTTTTTCGGGTCGTTCTCAGTAGAGATATTTTTTAGATAGTTTTTTTTTGCAGTCCTGATAAGTTGAAGAGTTTGGTTGCGCAAGTTTTTATATGTAGTCCAATCTAGGGCAAGTCTGGTGCGTTTATATTTCTGTAAGGCCTTATTTCTGCTTTTTTGTGCAGTTTTAATTTCATAGTTTAGCCAAGGAGCTTTAGGCTTTGTAATTCTGCATTCACGAATTGGAGCGTGCTTGTCAAAAACACTTAAAAGCAGCGAGTTAAATATATCGAGCTTCTTATCGATGTTTCTTTCATGAAATATTTGTTGAAAATTTAGAGAAGTGAGATCCGTGTAAAAGTCATCAAAGTTGAGAACTTGTCACAATATATTACTAGTTTGGTAAAGTAACATTACTAATTCCTGTTGAAAGGCGAATTGACAAAAAGTGAATAATCATAATCTTACAAATTTTGAGTTCATATAATAAGTTATTGTTCAAGTACGAATAAGTGGATTATTGCGGAACTTATGGGTGGACCTCTGCGGGACGAGTGAAACGAGTTCCGCAGCCATCTACTCATCAATATAGTGTTGAACTGTTCAAGGAAGACATTCACCTGAAACATGTAATTTTTAAACTAATGAGAATAACTCATATTTGAGTGAGTCAGGTTAATATCTTGATTAAACAACATATTAATGAATAGATGGCTGCGGAACTCGCTGCGCTCGTCCCGCAGAGGTCCACCCATAAGTTCCGCAACAATTCACTCATTTGTACTTGAATAAATTGTCACAATATATTACTAGTTTGGTAAAGTAACATTACTAATTCCTGTTGAAAGGCGAATTGACAAAAAGTGAATAATCATAATCTTACAAATTTTGAGTTCATATAATAAGTTATTGTTCAAGTACGAATAAGTGGATTATTGCGGAACTTATGGGTGGACCTCTGCGGGACGAGTGAAACGAGTTCCGCAGCCATCTTCTCATCAATATAGTGTTGAACTGTTCAAGGAAGACATTCACCTGAAACATGTAATTTTTAAACTAATGAGAATAACTCATATTTGAGTGAGTCAGGTTAATATCTTGATTAAACAACATATTAATGAATAGATGGCTGCGGAACTCGCTGCGCTCGTCCCGCAGAGGTCCACCCATAAGTTCCGCAACAATTCACTCATTTGTACTTGAATAAATTGTCACAATATATTACTAGTTTGGTAAAGTAACATTACTAATTCCTGTTGAAAGGCGAATTGACAAAAAGTGAATAATCATAATCTTACAAATTTTGAGTTCATATAATAAGTTATTGTTCAAGTACGAATAAGTGGATTATTGCGGAACTTATGGGTGGACCTCTGCGGGACGAGTGAAACGAGTTCCGCAGCCATCTACTCATCAATATAGTGTTGAACTGTTCAAGGAAGACATTCACCTGAAACATGTAATTTTTAAACTAATGAGAATAACTCATATTTGAGTGAGTCAGGTTAATATCTTGATTAAACAACATATTAATGAATAGATGGCTGCGGAACTCGCTGCGCTCGTCCCGCAGAGGTCCACCCATAAGTTCCGCAACAATTCACTCATTTGTACTTGAATAAATTGTCACAATATATTACTAGTTTGGTAAAGTAACATTACTAATTCCTGTTGAAAGGCGAATTGACAAAAAGTGAATAATCATAATCTTACAAATTTTGAGTTCATATAATAAGTTATTGTTCAAGTACGAATAAGTGGATTATTGCGGAACTTATGGGTGGACCTCTGCGGGACGAGTGAAACGAGTTCCGCAGCCATCTACTCATCAATATACTGTTGAACTGTTCAAGGAAGACATTCACCTGAAACATGTAATTTTTAAACTAATGAGAATAACTCATATTTGAGTGAGTCAGGTTAATATCTTGATTAAATAACATATTAATGAATAGATGGCTGCGGAACTCGCTGCGCTCGTCCCGCAGAGGTCCACCCATAAGTTCCGCAACAATTCACTCATTTGTACTTGAATAAATTGTCACAATATATTACTAGTTTGGTAAAGTAACATTACTAATTCCTGTTGAAAGGCGAATTAACAAAAAGTGAATAATCATAATCTTAAAAATTTTCAGTTTATATAATAAGTTATTGTTCAAGTACAAATAAGTGGATTATTGCGGAACTTATGGGTGGACCTCGCTGCGCTCGTCCCGCAGCCATGTACTCATCAATATACTGTTGAATTTTGAGTGAGTCAGGTAATATCGTAATTAAACAACATATTGATGAACAGAGGTCCACCCATAAAGATGTACAGTATTGGATAAATTTTTAGAATCCATGGTCAGAAACAAAGATTGAATGTCAGAAATGTGAAATGTTGCATGGCATGCTTTCAACTTTTTTAAAATGGGAACCTATGCAGTAGTCTAGTCTTATAAAAACAGGTAGAATAGGCTGCAGTAAGTTATACAGCATAACGCTATATGACAACGGCTTTTTATCAGTAGAATTAACATTGATATCAGTATATCAGTAGACCAGTGACAAAATCAGTAGATCTACTGATAAATGAGTAGACCTGGCAACACTGTACATAAGTCGAGACATAAGTATTAGATAATGAATAATGATAAAGAAAACAATAAGAAAAGTTAATATTTGACTCTGATAATAATTAATTAATTAAATTAATAATTAATTTTGAACGTTAGTTAGCTATTCTAGCTAAACACTACTATATGGTATGGTAAACAATGTAAGTCGGTAATGGCAGCAAATATCCAGTTAAGTTCCCCAAAATCTTGTAGAGGGCGCGAGTGAACTTGGATTGCTTTAAATTTTGCCGGTAAATGTCAATAGTTTTAAACCGTTTAAACTGAGTCGAAGGAAAGATCACTAAATATGAACAATGGTCAGTGAATAAGTTAAAATATCTCCCAAAACGTTCAGTGGCCCTTAGAGAATATTTTTAAAAATTGTGTCACCGTTAGCTTGTCCTGAAATCACACGTCAAACTTAACTTTTGAGGTTAAAATTACAATCGATTATTCACGCGCCAAAATTTGAAGAGCTCCAAGTACAGAAGCGCCCTCTTCAACACATCTGTCAATATTACATGCCCTTGAATTTACACAGATATTAATTAGCTAAGAAAGCTAAACGATAGGAGGCGATAAAAAAAAAGACGGTAATCAAGATGGCACGTAAAGTAAATATACAGGCCTGGACGGAATCCTTGTAAAGCCTCGGAAGCTTTCACAAATTTGAGCTCTGGAGGTAGCAAACTGGCTAGAGACAACCAAATAATGGTTGGGGATCAACTTCTTACAGGACACAAACTTTTTTCGAAAAGGGGGCCCAGATTTGCTCTGAGTTTCCAGGACAGCGTGGTCTCGAATTCGTCAATTTTCACTTGGAGAAGCGCAGGCACGGATTTTTCCTCCTGCCGAAGGTGCCTGAATGAATTGAGGAGATATAAGAACTCATTTATCAGAGAGAAAAAGAAATTTACATACCTGAACGGCCGATAGTAACCTCACTTTCAAAAAATCTTCACAAAAATCAACAATCGGTCCATTTTCCAGGTAACTTTCTAGTAGACACGAGTGAGTACTCTTCTGGGTAGTTATTCGGTAAGAATATTGACTCTATGGCCAAAAATGAAGGTAAAGTTTTAGGATTTTTAATCTGGACGACCTGTTCGGTCCCAAAACAAAAGAGAAAAGGGCAAGTCAAAAGTACCCAAATTGGTTCTGTCCTAGGTGTACGGAATAGTACTTTTACATGAGTCCAGAATATATGAAAATAATTAAGAACAATAATAACTATTATTGTTTTTGTGACATTTCGAATGTTACAGTAAATATTTTCGTGTGGTTCTCCATTCGTTCGTAGGTCGATCGAGTGTACGCCATTGGTATTTTCCTGTTTCTGACTATTCCCTCGACCTTTCCATGTTAGTATGAATTTAATCCTATTAAAACTCATCCCCCTCAAATTATAGTTGACGAGTTTTAGGAAATTTTTCAACTCCGAGATAATAGGGGTGGTAAATTTTAAAATGAATACCCTGTATAGTTTTAAAAAGTGTCTTCATTTTGATTAATGATATGCAATATAAATTAAATTAGAATTTTTCCAACAAACTTGATTTGAACCAAATTGACAAAATCCTTCTCCTTCTTAGTATAAAAGGATAATTCGAATTTAAATCACGTACTCTGGAGTTTATTCAATTACTTTTTTTCTTAGGCAATAAGACTTAAATTAAACGTATAACAAATACTTCATATTAACTGAACAATGCCCTTTATATTTATTCGCCGTCTGAATACCAAGGACGAAAATTCCAAAAAAATTCATCAAAGGCAATCGGTGTGTGGGAGGCCACATGGCTAACTCAATTTACATTTTAATAATACATATGAAATTACTATACTTTGGGTTTTTCTGCCACAATTTATAAGCATACGATTGTCAGGTTATACAAAAATATTTCCTAAATAAACAGTCTAAGTTTATTAATTTATTCTTGGACCTTTATTGAGACTGAAATAAATTGCCAGACGGTTTCTGTACGGGTTAATTAACGAGGAAATTAACACTCGACATTGACGGAATTATATTGAAATATAATACATAATTTAGTTTTTTGTCGCTTGTCGTTCAAGAAAATGAGAAACATTTCAAATTTGAATAAACATTTATAATATGGTAAGATTTTATCAGTTTATGATGAAAATTAGGGACATAATAAATGGATTATACAGTTTTGCAAAATTCTGGCAATTGATTATTCGAAAGCGGATTTATTCCTGAAATTAAAAGCTTCAAATATCCAAAAGCTTTGATAAACCACTACAAAAAAAAAAAAAACCTATAAAAAGTTTTGAAATGTGTTTTAAAATTATATTACGTTTGTTAGAGTTCAATGTTTGAAATTACGTATATTCAAATAATTTTGGATTGTTGGAAATATTAATTATAGAGGAACGAAGACTCTAGGAAAAATCTGTGGAAATCAGGAAGAAGTAATGCCGAATGGTTAACATTCAGTCAGAGTCGAATTTCTTTGAAAAAAAAAAATGAATTGAATTGAAAAACAAGTAATAACTCAGCTTCTGAGCTAAATATCGTTAAGCGGTTTGTTCCATTTTATAAAAAAAACTTCAGGTTCTGATTTCTGAGTCTTTAAAAATGATGAAATAAATTTTGAATGTTTTTTTGCAAATCATTATAAACATAAATTTCTCTCCAAATTGTAGATATCAAAACCATGGCACATTACCACAGAATCCTTGTCCTTTTGTGCCTGGCATCAAATTCGATTCTGTCAACTTCCCAAAACCACAATTTCACTTGTGAAAATTTAAATACAAAACCGACAAATCTATATTTTCACAAAACTCCAGAAAATGGCTCAAACATTGTAACTATTGGATTTTTGGGAGCTTACGGACAAGCTCAGGTACTACTCGGAGCTTTACCTTTAGCTGTGGAAGCTGTGAACAAGGACGAAAGTAAGTAATTTGAATCTGTATGTATAAAGATAATAAAGAAAGAAACTGTTTCAAAAGTGCAGCTTATTTCATATTTTGCTTTGCATTTTGCTTCCAAGGATATTGTACAATGAATACATACATAATATATCATCGATGAAAATTTTCTATTAAATTCCAGAAAATTTATTTGCCTCTTAAATTTTACTTTGTAGTAACGAATTGCAATAAGTCTAGACGAGTTTTACATAACAAAAACTTGGCCTTTTTTTACTTTGGACATTTCAATTGATATATTTGAATTTAGGTCTGTTGCCAGGAAAAAAATTGAATTACGTGGCAGCTAATATCGGAATATCGTCGACAACAGGAAAATCGTCATCGACTCAAGCCATAAGGATGATGACCAAAATGAAGGATAATGGGGCTTTGGCGTTCATCGGACCGGACGATACGTGTTTTCCGGAAGCTTTGGTATCGACTGCTTGGAATTTACCAATGATATCTTATGTAAGTGAAGTTTTGTAT